GGGTGGGGAGGGGTAAGGGCTGGGGAGTGGTTAAGGGTGGGGAGGGGTTAGGGGAGGGTTTAAGGGTGGTGGAGGGGTAAAGGGTTAGAGGGTTGGGTTGGGGGAGGGGTTAAGGCTGGGGGGAGATAAGAGGACGTCCTTTGTATGAAATTCACTGGTTGAAAGTTGCTGAAGTATTTTCGTATGTTGATGGTTTCAATTCCACTCAACGAAGATTTCTTCTCAAGGTCTCTTGGAAAGTGCTAGGGCATACATACATACGGGATGGAGGGACCCCCTATTAAAAAGGATTTATTCAAAAAAGCTTGATAACTGCAAAGAATCTTACTGAAGGTGGTCATCTTGCCAGTGCTTGCGTAAGTCCCCTATCGTGAAGGCCACAGAAAGAAACCTTTTGTCTGTGACGTGGATGATGTCCTTCGTATTAACTGTCACTTGCACATCAACAGCATCATTCTTGCTTAAGAAAGGTTGTTTCCTAGTGTGTTCACACAGAAAGAGCACTTGTTTTAATCGCATTTTTGCTTTTAAGTTAGAAAAGTCTTGAAATCCTAAATCTCTGACTGCATGGAAATCAAATGGCACATTCTCCAGGAATAATCAATTAACGTGAATGTTGTGAAGTACGCAGCACTGGTTGGGCGTTGCACGATCTTCAATCCGATGAAATCTTAAAAATCTTCCAGTAGATTGGGGAATATCTTAAAATTACGTGAAGAAAGTTTTGTCTGTGTTAAGATCATCAAGATCTCGATTTTTAACAGGATTCAGAAACACGTTATCAAAAGTGGCCCACCATTCCAAAACCAGCCCAACAAATTATAAGCTGTACTATCTGGAAAATATTATTTACATTAACAATGTAAATTCTACAACTTTCATTAAATCAAACCTTTATGCTGACAAACTGTTTAATTTGTATCCCTTTGAAGCATAAAAAGATTTTACACTGGGAGAGCCTTGAAGGGAATTGTTAAACAGTAAGAACAGGAAGCCCCACAAATGTATATACTGTTCATTTGAGGTCTTGAAATAGGGAGGTCAAGATGAAAAATGACCCCCCCCCAAAAAAGGTCCGAAATTGGTTGAACCAGGTCCTCTGTTCAAGAACAACGGACTGGCAAAATGTGGTAACTTTTTCCTCAGCATGCATCATGAAAAGTGCTCAAGCATAGAAATTGGTACAAATAATGGAAGGGTGAATATTACAATAATATTAAATATATTAAACAATATTAAAGAATGGGGAAATATGGAACACTCCTAAATCCACTATAATCCACTCTTGCTGTAATAATGACAAGGAAAATCGGTAAAACAACTGAGTTTTAAACCTTTTATACTAACAAATGAAGAGTTTAAAATTTACAATTTCCCAAGTGGACACACATTTTTGTCTGCACTGCTGCTTCACAGGATAGACAGGAAACCAACGCAACGGTAACAATCACCATGCTGAGTCTGTCCACACACTGCCCTCTTAGCAAGGATGCTTGGCGAACAGCCCTCATGTTTAATGGAATCTGCATTATAAATTGAAACAGAAAGCAAAGCATAATTATTAAACTAAAATGAGTTTCTTTATTTTTATAATTAGTTTAGATTTATGACAAAACTTTTCACCACAGAATGCACAAGTATAATATAGTCAAACCTAATTCCTAAGAGGCCCTTTGGACTATGCAAATTGCCTTGTTATAACAAGAACCTTTATTATTCAGGAATGAAAACAACGATAAACAAAGAATGAGGATCTAAAAAAATCCTTGTTATAAGCAGAATCTTGTATTCACAAGGTTTGACTTTAAATTGTACAAACTGGTACATCTACAAGTCATTCCACACCACAGGCCGGGGTGGAATGGCATATTATTCTTGCTTGGAGCTTTATTCAAGGTGGGAATTCATGACAGTTTCACTCACTTTTTGTAGACTCAACTTTTTCCCTAGGGAGTCAAAGACTAACAGCAATCTTTCAACGATGACGTTTCAATTCCACATCCCAAGTGTGTATTTTCATTTTTCATGAAACACAAGGGCAGAGTTTGTCGACAACATACAAAATTACTTCCTGGTGTTTCCCCAACATTTCCCACATTCCAAAAAGGACAGCAATTACAATGAAAGGTCCTGGACGTGATGGCATAGGTCACATCATGGAGGATGTGACCATCAATGGTCATGATGCAGTACTGCTGCTTAAAGGTGCACGAAGGACGGTGAGCCGTGAAACCCCGGGTTCAGGCCTGCACATGGCCTTTCCCAGGTTTACATTTCAACTACATGTAGGCCTAATCCAAAACTGAAAGGTCGAACATGTCAAGAATACACCAGACCTCACATAACGCATACAAAATAATAAATACGAGGATTTCTAGCACATTTGAAAAGGCATACCGCCAATTCCACCTTCTGAATATGATGCAGAGCAGTTCTCATAGTCATACTAGGACACTTTTTCCATCTTAAATCTTCCATCAGGGCCTAGCATTACTAACTAGTTCTGACATTTCCTACCTCCATGCGCAGTTACACTGTAGAGCTGATTGTGTTGTTATAGGTCGACAGGTAGAATTTCTTACCCGAGGGAACTGTCACGTTATTCATTGTTATTGACAATATTAAAACACGTGACGGTACGTACACAGAGCACGTCATCATAACCAAAGGTGTTGGGCGAATCTGGCTTCACTGCTGCGTGCACGTACGGACGTCCGCACGGGGTAAGCGACCTCTGTACCTGTACGTACGTGTACACGCACAATACGACTAACGTCGCCCAACCAGGGATAGTTCGCAAGCTGCAGGTCCGCATATTGACTTGGACATAAAATGACCACAAGTGGGGTCCGTGCGTAATTACACCACTCAAAACAAGTAAGGACCACTTTTTATTTTGTGTATACTTTTTATATGAGATATTTTACTGCTGAGAATGGGCATTTGATGTTTTGAAACATTTTAAATTTTTTTATTCCAACGAGAATACCATGTAGACAAACAAAAAAATGAAAGAACTAGACCCCACTCATTGCTTGGAGAAAAATTACAAATTAAGAAAAAAGTTGTTCTTACCTTTTTTTGAGTAGTGCAGGTTTGGATCCCACTTTGAGTCGTTCGTGGCAAATTCGGTTCCAATCCAGAGGGAAAGATCGCCACAAAGATGAAAAAGTGTGAGCGAGCCGCAATTTTTTTCCGTAGGTTGATGAGTCGAAAACATGAGTTATTCCTGAGGATTCGATTACTGTCAACCGAACTCCAATGACCCACCATACATATACAGTACATGTACTTGTACCGCATGAGCACAGTGGACATATACATGTAAGCACACTTTTACCGCGGGCAAGATTTCCCCTTTGAAAAAGTGTTTGTATCCCCGGGTGCCCCCCACTACTGAGTTATGCCACTGGATAAACCTATCAAAATGGACATTTCTCTAATTGAATTTGAAAAGGGTTGCATTTTCAAGTCTTTTAGTGTTTAGTGGTATGTGTATTATGTGGTGTTCCGATAGCTGCGTGGGATTTTTTAACACATCTTGCATCATTCTTTACTTTTATCTGGTTCGTAAGTGACTTAATCACAAAGGTGGACGCGCCACGATTTGCAGGCTCCCATTGGACGATCGCTGAAGTTGCGCGTAAACTTCCGTTTCCATGGTTCCATGTAAACGTCGATCATATCAATGCATGTAACTCTATGTGCAGTGCATATGTAGTGGGTGTGGTTTAACCTGAGGTGACGTCACATTTACGAACCGGATACCGACGGCCAATCGTACATTTTGAATGAACTGGGGTAAAATCGAAAACCGACCCAAAGGTGATCTTTCTGCTGACTTTGGTTGCCCATATACTTTAAGTTGCAGCATTGCAGGTAAACTGAGAGTAGTCCGTTCGTCGTATTCTCAAAAATTAACATGCTGTTTTTTCACTGTTTATAGGCACCAAGCAGAATTTGTTTGAGTCGAGAGAAAGCTTGTCCCAGAGTGCGCTCCGAGGGAGGGGAAATGGCGTATTAAACTAGGGCTAAATGTCCGGGGGCACCTGGGGGTGTGTACTTTTTTTTTCAAGGGTACACCACAAGAAAATAAGCGACGGCTGCATTGAAGGTTGACATCCGTGTGTCTCGGAAGACAACAGAGTATCTGCACCTTGGTCAGTCCGTTGTAGTACTTGCACAGCGCCTGCTTTGAGTGTAGAGCCCGATGCGGGAGCGGAAGGTCATTTGGCATTTGCTGCAGGTGTACCGGTAGTTGATGGTGGTGGCAACAGGAGCTGACCGAAGCCTCTGCCGCCTGGGGATCGTCCTTTCTTCCCACTGACTCTTTCTCCTTTCCTCGGCTTGCAGGACCCCTGCCTTGACAGTAGATCGCCAGTTGGTGCGATCTGGTGTCGCTGATTCTAGGTCCGCTGGGCTGACGCTGCATACCTTCAGGTCACGTTTGCAGACATCTTTGTAGCGGAGGGCAGGCCGTCCTGTGGGCTGCGTCTCTGTGGTAAGCTCACCATACAAAACATCTGTTGGGATGCGTCCGTCGTCCACGCGGCAGACATGGACGACAGCTAAACCGTCTGTGGGTCAGGATGACAAATATACTTAACACACCACCCGAGACAGGACATCTTTATTTGTGACAGCTGCATTACAACGGACATTATTCACTGATTTCAAATGGGGGGGGGGTTGATACCCGGGATGCAGGGTCACATGACAAAGTGAATACTTTCCTTTTGTGATATCTTAGAAATAAACGTCTTCTGATAAAGTTCGGAACTTTAGTAATATTACATTTGCTGGGATTAAATTTCACACCCCAAGTGACTGCATGGTCATCAGCTAAGGAACCGGGATCTCTCTGAAAGACTCTTATCTGCACCTGAAATAAAAACAACTCCCTGTATGAGATTCTCACTTTCAGAAATTGCCATGATAGGAATGTTTATTTGACATCCTGCATTTCTCTCACTTGAACACAAATTTAAATTCAGTGGCAAAGTCATTAGATAAGTTCCTTGAAAGCACACCTTCACACAAAATATAAGCCTTGCACACGATATCAATCTTCTCAATATAATGAGTCTAAACATACCACATTTGCCTACTTAAAATATACAATGTGTCATCATTAGTATTGTACAAACTAAAAAGTATTGATCGGGAAATCTAGTTAATGCCCAATGGTAGAATTTCATATTTTCCTTCTTAATAAAGTAGGAAAAACTATCCTCTCTAGGTCGTTCCAAAAGGTTTACAGCATGGGATGAACGGTTGCTATATTGCTAGAAAACTCACTTCATAGGGCAAGATAATTCCGCACAGGCCTTACTGTATCACAGACACCAGCACCAATAACATGGAGCTGGAGCGCCTTGCATTGATCTCGATACCATACGCTCTACTTGTAAGTTATATACTAGCTAGTCTGCAGCTTTTCCCCAAATCAAATATTCTGAGAGAGAAGTACACAATGATATCTTTGTAAACTCAGAAAATTTTTCATGGGCCTCAATTTTTTGTAGGCACAGTGCTAACTGTGCATATCTGATAATACTCTGGCAGTCTAACGTTATACTTTATGTCCATTTATATATTTTTTTCATACCAACACTGTACATGTTGGACGATTCAATCTGATTTATTTAAACTGACTCAATACCACATTCAAATTTGTTTTGTTTTGTTTAGTTGTTGTTTACTAGACTTGGTGGGGGAATAGTGTACAGTATGGGCATCTGCACGCAAATAAATGTAAAGCAGAAGTTACTTTGCTTTGGGCAGGTGGTAACTCTTACATTGGCTGTTTCACAAGCTTAATCAGGTGGAGCCCCGACGAACTCTGAAGTCAGGTAGTAAAATGTCAACAGGAACTTGTGGGTTTGAGTCTCTAACGAGTTTTCTGACAGCACTAAGTATACAGTGTTTATATATATATACATCAATGACGGGCAAAAAGCCAATGTAAAAACAAGACTGGCATTAAGCAGACGTCTGGCGCATAAAGCAGTATACTCTTACTGCCTACGTCTACTTCATGGTAAAAAGGGGGATTCTCTGAGTCCTTCAGCCTCTAAAATAAGGTAAAGAAATCAAGTTAAACTTGAAGTGTTAAGCCTTGCATTTATAATTACATGAAGTATTTAAGAACTCAAGGGCAGTTAAAACTCCTCACGGAGGGCAACATCAAAATGTTCCACATTTCCGATTTAATGTTGCCCATCGTATGCATTACAAATTTCAAAACAAGTCTTTGGAATTCTGAAAGAGTCTCAATTTAGTTTAAAGATTTATACAGCACAACTGTAGAAAAATAAACTATAAATACGTACAACTATTACACAATGAGGGTTCTTCCCTTTTTTGACATTTTATGAGCTATTTTTGCATCTAACAATGTTTACACTCAGCCTTGAGAAAAACCAATCAGGCTCTACTTGTATGTAAATAAATACAAAAACAGAAGTACACAAGCCTCTTAAGAATACAGTAAATCCAGACATACTGTACTATAATGACAGGAAAACAGTCAGACTCTTCCCAATTTCAGAGAGTCAAATAAATGGATTTCTGGAGCATCATCCACATGACCATCTCACGAGTAAGGCCCCAGTCTATTTCAAGCTTTCCGGATATCCTTGGGCAACAAAATTTTAAGTACATTCCTGAATACCTACTCTGAAATATTTGGATTCTCTTTCATCTGAATAATATGCATGTGAAACTCAAGCTTAAAAAAACCAAGAAAAATCATGAATATTCAGAAAATCCTGTAACACATGGAACTTAGTCTAAATCACGGGGTAGATAATTATCAAAAATCCACTCTCCACCAACATGCTGCCCATGTTGCAGGGAAATGGAGCCCTAGCATATCTACTGTAAATGTTCAGAATAGGGCCCAATTTCATGGCGCTGCTAAGCAGCGAGCACACCATTTTACGATACAGAGGCTCTGTGTTTTTCCTGAAGACCTTATGCAGTGGGTACTATAAAAGACACGCTTACCATGGAGGAAATGGAAATATTTGCTTCACATAGTGACGTAACAATGGAAATCTTTATTTGTGAGTGCAGTTTTAAGCTCAAGCACGCCAAGTACCAGTATGAAAGAGTGCTTAGGGTTAGCAAGATTTTCTGCCACAGTACAACTTTTCTGCTAACAGTTAAGTAGCACTATGAAAGTGGGCCCAGCTCTAGACGGGTACATTCATCATTTCTAAGAAAGTTTTACAAGTAGCCCCATTCAGGACTTCATTCCCCACCAAAATCACCACCAAAGTCCCCACCCATGTCGCCACCAAAGTCCCCACCCATGTCGCCACCAAAGTCCCCACCCATGTCACCTCCAAAATCACCACCCATGTCCCCTCCATAATCCCCACCAAAATCGCCATCGTGATCCCCTCCGAAGTCGTGATGGTCATAGTGGTGGTCATGGTGGTGATCATGATGGTGATGATGAAAGTCATGGTGGTGGTGGTGCCCAAAGCCCCACCCACCCCCATACCCCCAACCGCCACCATAGCCCCAGCCATGCCCCCAGCCGTAGCCGTAGCCTCCAAGCAGGGCACCTGTCAGCACGCCAGTCGCAAATCCGTCGTTGCTTGGCCGCTGGTTCACGATGACTGTTCTATGTTGTGGCTGCTGCATCAGCCTTGCTTGGCCGACACTCACCTGTTGTGGATACTGCTGTGGGTACTGCTGATATTGACCCTGGGGTGGGGCATAACCCTGGGGTGGGGCATAGCCCTGCGGTGGCGCATGCCCCTGAAGTGGATATGGTGAATTTGCCTGGTAAGAGGGAGGAGGCTGTCCTGTATTCAGTGAGGATTAAAAAAATAAGGGCAGAAATTAAATTAAATCATTTCACTCAAATAAATACTAAGTGATCTTACACACACGAGCACAGCGCAAATAGCACCTCAAAGTACATGTGTGCTTGAACTTCCCGATGCATGAAAACTCTTTCCATTTCGGTTTTTGAAGCGTTAAGAACTATAATCATTTCCTTGAACGAATACAAATGAAATTTGGTTCCATTCAAATCTACCATTAGAAAAAAACACACTTGACGCCGGAGTCTTACCTGTAACACTTGGGACGAATCCAGGCGGAGGAGGGCCTTGAGGCATGGGTGGCCCCTGGGGTACAGAGCTGGCTTGTTGCCCTGGTGGTACTCCTGGCTGGACGCCTTTGACTTCATACAGGGCTTTCAACCATCCTCTGCAACAAAAGATTAAGTCAATTCAAAGTATTTGCTGCAAACAGAACTTCTGAACAAATTTCCTTGGCATTGGAAGACTGTGACATGTTCTACAACTGTACAGGGAGCTTTTACATGTAGTTAACTCTGAACAGGAAGTAATGCCCCCAGTCTCTAGTTAAAAGTTTCCTCATTTATCTTTCTTTTTTTTGGGGGGGGGGCTTGGGTTGGCAAAAGGCAATTCAAGCAAAATTTCAGTCCGCTGATAATTGTACGAGGAATTCTGTCCTCTTTGCCCATTTTATGTATTTCCTTTCTCTTTCTTAGGGACCAGGGGGGGGGAAATCATAGAAAAAAAGAAAGTTCTTACATGAGCGTCTCCTCACTGTCGGCCTGAAAGAAGTGGTTCTTCTTGTTGATGGTCAAGGCAAAGATGAGGAGGACGTCGGCTCCAGTCTCTGGCCTGGGGGCGATGCGGGTGCACTGCTGGCCTACCCTCAGGCTCTGGCATTCCGTCTTGATGTTCCAGGAGCTCTTGGCGCTGCTGTCAGATGTGGAGGACTTGATGACCAGCCTCCCATCATTGTAGATGCAGAGATAACGTCTGCTCCACCCCTTGAAGATCAGGCCGCCTGTATCAAGAAGAACCAAAAAGGAAGTGAAGGACAAATGTGAAATGGAGGCATGAAGAGAAATCAACAAACATTCACATGAAAGGTGTGGCAACAATAACCATAAAACCCTGTGGGAATAAGTCTCTGATGAATTGTTATGAAACTGCCATGAAAGTTGAGCTTAGTTTCTTATGCACAAAGTGCTAGAAACTAGCAACAATTTCATAATTAAACCCCTACAATCCAACAATGCTGGGGTCAACAATCTTGTAAGTCTGGTAAAATCCTCAGAGGTCACTCCCCTGTGAAGAAGTTACACTACACATCCACATGGATCCCACAAAATCTGCTGGGAGCCTGGGAAATTCGGCAGATTCTGCAGGATTGAGGAAGATATATGCCCAGGAATTAAGGAACCTCATGCCCCATACATGTAGAAGTTGAATTACAAAGAATGTATCCAAATCAATGGAAGATTTTGGACAGGTCAAGAAAGTTATCACAAAAAATTAGGGGCCTGAGTTTAATGTCAGGTTCAGAGTTAAGAAATGGTTGATTGATAAAGTAACACAAGAAAAAACACTACAGAGAGAAAAGAATATTTCTGACAACTCTCTGAAATGATGATGTAAAGTTTGATGTACCAAGCAGGTGCAATTAAAATACGACTAAATTACAACAGCATTTAAAAAAAAATAAATTGACAAGTTCAAAGAAAGTTGACAGGTAATGGAAGGCCTGTAACTCAGAATCAAACAACACTTACAATAATACTTCAAATAACCGTCATGCTTTTTCCCAGAGGTATCTGAAACCAAATAAAAAATAAAAAACTTTGTTTTATTGTCATGGGAACACACAATATAAAACTAAAATATGAAATTATCTTGCTTAGTGTGGCTTATTTTAGCTGGACTAAATTTCAGTCAACTAATTTTTGATAAAAGGTAGGCCTATACCATCTATGTTATTTAGTTTGCTGTGGTCTGATAAAAGCTAATTATTTTCGAGATTATTCAATTTCTTTGTTTTGTTTCTGGCCACTTCAGGAAGGGGCATGATTAACGTAATAGAAAGTCTTTCCAAATTGGAAGCAGCCTAGGACACATCATCAATGATTCCATAATCTCATACTCCTGCACAAATCATCAAGCTATGGATGCACAAATTAACGTCTGGAACAATGGCTACGGATCTGCAGAAAAGTGTACGTAGAAAGAGTTCCATCCATAGAGGTAGGATGCATGCAATATGGACAACACTTGATGCCCCTGTGCATGAAACGTGTCTGAAAAAAATTAAGCGTTTTCAAAGTAAAAGTTTCAGAACTTTCTCACTTAAATTTCACTTTGTAGGATGTTGTCACTTTCAAATGGCTGGTATAACATTTTAAAAGAAAATTAGTGTTTCGGTCGTATATGGAACTCTTTCTGTGTACGTAGTCAAAACTAGGCCTAGGCCTACCCCCTGAATTATAGTATGGGGCCCGACGTCCGCCCTGGGGGAAAGGGGTGGACGCCGGACCCCACATTTCTAAGGGTAGTCAATATCACTAGAAGAGTGGGTGTTCCTTTGGGCCATATCTTTTAGGGCATAGTCTAACTCTAAGCCCTAGATACGCAACACTTGAGAGTGCCCCAGCCAGCACCTGTTAATTATGGGCGGCGAGCGAGCATGCCTCTGCTCGGCGCGCGCGGCCTGCAAGTGCATCCCCGGGCCATATCGAGCACCCGGCCCACTGCACTGTGCCGATACGCGATGGCCATGACATTACTGTAGCTTGACAACAAAACAAGGTTCGTACATGCAGCTCCGTCACTTAATCACATTCGATATGCAAGCCTAACGCTAGCCATAGAGCACATAGGCCTATCCACACAACATGAACTCACTTGCTACCTCAACTCCTCCACACGACATTTTCTTTATTTACGAATATGATGATTAAATCATTGAGGTAGAAATAGAATTATACTGCAGAACTGTCTGCGAGCGCCTTCGGCGCTATAAGATATTTCGTTCTGCGTTTCAGCTAAACACAAAAATTGCTATTTTCCCTGGTTCTCTACCGAACGCGATTAAGTTTTATGCCTCGCCGCAACATGTGCCAAATTAGCTCGTCCCAATTTCACGTTTTGGTATAGACTGCAATTTTTGTGGACGATAACGCATGTGATTGGGTAACTTTCATTTCAAGCTCGCGTTAGGTTAGCCTAGCTGACCCACAATCCCTCGTGGTTTTTGAATAAGAATCAGCGACAAAATCAATTTGTATGTACCAGATTGTCTTGACTGGCAGCAATGCGGAAAAGTGGATGGATACCAGTGAAAGCTCAACCATGAAAATGGCAGCCTCCTGTGCACGTAAAACGACGTGGACTTACTCGTGAGTGCATTAAGCAGTAATTACAAAGATTAGGGAATTTTTGGAAGTAAGCATAATTTAAATGATCAGCATTGTAATTGTCAGCGTAATTTAATTTTGAATGCTGTAAAGAATGTGGTATTTAAACACTCAGACCTACTCTGGTCGTCCAAACTTGTGTTGTGCCAGCAGTTTATAACCCAATCGGCAATGCCTGCAGCGCGGCGTTGATGTACAAGTGTACATGTGCTGCTGAGCTGGCGGAGCTTGCGATCGCGCTGCCTTTTTCACCTCTCATCACACAGTGGACTAGAGTGGGATCTGAGTGCGCCCGAAATGGAAATGGCAATTTCATGTGTCATGTTTGTAGGAATGTTAATGTTAGAAACTTACCAAGATTTTCAGACAGTGTCAGACCATGTCAGACCTGGGGTTGCAATGTTGTAGGCCCTAATTTATCAAAGGGACCTTCACTCGACAAGCTCTTTTTGGTCTCTTCCTTCTCATTGTTGCTGCTACTTGGAGGAATAATTTTAGAAGAACATTCCTCCATGCTAGTTAGTAGTAGTGCTAGTCATTATTCTTCATTTTGCATTATTTGTATCATGATTGGTACGTGTGTATTTAGTTCTCATCATTGCCGTGATTTTAATCATAATTGAATTAATTTCTTCCGTCTTGTAAGTTTTTTCATAATGCCTTGCTTTGTAGGCTATGGTCTTATCATGACATGGGCATGATGGGGAGATTCAAAATACTATAGAAGTGGAAAAAAAATGTGGCGGATCTCTCCATGTCCTCAGCCTGTGGTATTGGATATTTCCAGCTGTCTTCAACTGCAAAATTGTAGTAATTTCTAAAGTGAGATATATTCTGAGTGTAATTTAATTTACCTTAAAAAATCTCACATTTTCAAAGGTAAGAAGTAAATCTGTGCTGAAAATATTACCCTAGTACTTTTATTGTTTGTTTCAGAATGATGGAAGGATTCTTGTTAGTTCTGCATCTGCTGGTTGGATGTATGCTTGTCTCTGCTGTTGACAAAAATAACTTTAAGACATGCAGCCAGAGTAGTTTTTGCCAGTAAGTTAAAAAAGAAAAGAATACTTGCAGCCACGATAGTCTCAAATCATAATAGGATTTCAGGTGCTTTTTTGTCCTTTCATTTTCTGTTATTTCCTTCAATTTCAATATTCTGTACTGTAGTAGACTGTATATTTTTGGTGGTCTGCTGAGAACCTTGTCCAGTTCTTCCTTCGGGTCAAATATAATGCCCGCTGATTTTGCAGTAATGCATTATGAGTCACCTCCGGAATTATTTTTAAGATTTATGTCATGTTTTCATGAAAATGAAGATATTTCCTGAATTCTCTGGAAATTCACAGTTAAGGAATCAGTGAAACACTGCATGTTGAATCTTTTGCTACAAGCCCCGTCTAAGGTACATGTGCATGTATTAGTGGATGGGCTCTCCGTCTTCCTGCCAAACCTCCAAAACTGCTAAGTAAATTTGGAAGAATCTTGGCAGCCCTTAAAGTGAATAAGTAATATTTGATCCATGTTGTTTCTGTACTACATGAAATGAGCCTTGAGCTCAGACAAGAGGGGCACAGTTTTCCCAGCAATCGAGGCTCCTTTGATGGGAACTGCACTTTGCTGCTTCTCAAGTGACTGAAGTGCAAGCAGTACTGTCGTGTTGCTTCTAACAAAATGAACTCTCCTAGCGACATGGCTTTAGACAGCAGCTTCAGATGCAGGAGAGCTCTCCTCGCTTGCAAATGTCCTTTCTTTTGCTTTGTGGTAAATTAAATTATGACTAAATTTATGGAGTAGCCTCTGCAACAAATTTGGTTAGCTTGGTGTCAAACTTGAGATGGCATGTCATAACCATTGAATTCTTATTGGACTGTTACACAGACGAAACCGAGACTTGAAGTCAGGTAACTCTCCCTATGAAGCATTGATGGATACCCTCAAGATCTCGGACGATCTCCTCCAACTTGTCGTCCTGAACTCGGCCACCGGGGGGAAGCTCCAACTGGAGCTGATTGGCTTGGATCAGAGCATTGTCCGGCTACGGATCAAAGATCCTTTCAACAGACGATATGAGGTGCCGGACGTGGTGCAGCCGGATCTACAGAAAAGCCGGTGAGGAAGATGTCTGTAGCCCTGATGATTCTAATGCTGACTTATGGCTCAGCGAAGATTCTGGGTTACAGTACTTCTCTTAAAGGATTTCAAATCGCAACGATATTGCAATCCCAATGAGTTGATGTCCATTTGTGAAAGCTGTTGCTTCTTATCAGGTTGCCCTCTTTTTTCTGTTGTTTCACAGTTTTCATTTCTTTAAAAACTATTCGTGGTTTCATTGATAACAAGGAATGTTTGTTACACGTACCCAATGGTCAATTCATACTTCATAGCGAATTTGACATCATGAAACATTTGCAGCAAAGTTTGTTTGAGCTGAAAAGTGTTCAACTTTCGTGAATTCACGGTGCAAATATTTGATATGACTTACCAGATTGCGTTCAGTATTTCTCTTGCAACAAGTGTGAACTGCCTTTTTTGTTTTCGTAGAAAATTTAGCATTCTACACTTGTTGGAAAAAGCAACTGGCCAGGGTTTTCTTTACAGTGCGCACGAATGTTTATTGATATTAGAATTGAAAAAAACTTGATAGGCTTACACGTTGCATTTCTGTACCTAGTTGGGAAGTTGTAAATTTTGTGAAAATTGACATTGCCAATGTCAGGTTGACTGTTTTTGTCCTTGAAAAATGGTTTACAAAGTTCCTCTTCTCTCTGGCTTATGGATTATTCTCTATTTTCAATGTCCAGTTGGAAAGTTGTCCAGTCAAGTGGTTCATTGGAGGCTAAGCTACCCCAAGACGTTACTGTCCGTTTGACACCCCACCCTCTCCGACTGGATCTCTTGCAAAAAGACGATGTCGTCATCTCAGTCAACTCCAGGGGACTCATGAACTACGAGCTACAAAGTGAAAAAAAGAGGTTTGTAAAGTAGTTCAAGAAGAGCCAGGCCATGTCCGAATTACTTGGCTATGGCTAAAATGACATGATTGTCTATGGAAGCCACTTTTTTAGTGGCTTAAGCCATTTCCCATAGACTTTCATGTTATTGCAAACCACAACTAGATAATTTAGTTGTTAGCCCATGCAGCCACATAGTCAAAATCATCATAATTAAACAAGCGATCCTAATTTAATTGAAAACTGTTATTTGAAATTTGGGATTGGACGATTTTTGCTTTGCTTTAAATTTTATTTGCTTATAAAAAAAGGCTGATTATTAACAGTTTCCATTTTTGCAAGGCCAATTTGGCATCAAAATCGTTGTGGTTTTCAATCACCTTCAACTTTTTGTATCATCTTGAGTCAAAGGAAGAAAGAATTTCATCTTAAAAAAATTCCGTTTGCACTGATCTAAGAGAGGGTTAAATTCACTGGACAAGCCCTGACAAACTGTTTACCAATGAACAAGCCTACGGTTACCCAGCACTACACGGTGCGACCAAAACAGTCGCATTTGCGCCTAAAACAATGATGCAAAATTTGCGCCTAAAAAATGAGGATATGTGACCAAATGTTTAATTCTTATCGCCAATGGAGACCATGGTTTGTGCCCGTTAATCGCCCACCTTGTCAGTCATATTTTACAAATGATCATCTGGCGCCTATCTGTTTTTTTTCTAGGAGCTGGTGGCTCCTCATTTTAAATTTCTCTGTACAGTACCTCTGTTACCAGTCTTAGGTGGCAGTAACCCAAGTGCCCCTTGCATTTCCTGCTGTGTGGCAGTAACCCAAGTGCCCCATGCATTTCCTGCTGTGAACCCTCCCCAAACTGTTAAAATCCAACATTGTGCAGGCACAAAATCAGATGTTTGATGCACCTTCTGATGACAGTAACATCTCATGTAATGGGACCCAGCTCTATCATTCTCAATCCTGCAAATTCTGTACAAATCCCAGTAGATTTTTCCAAAGGCTTACAACCTTCAGGGTTCCACACCTTTACTTAATGTTCAATGGCATGGACTTCTCTATTTTCTGTCAGTTTGTTGTGGCCATAGTCAGAAGCGGATCATTCTCATTGAAATATTACTACTTATGTTCCACACAATCAATTTTTAATAATAGTAAAATTTTTCTGCTGTTTATGCGGAAGACGTCATACGAGCTGAAATTGTTTCAAGATTGTGTTCCACCTTCTGGTCTTGAGTTTCAGAGTGCATTTACTAGAAGTATGGAAATACAACACACAGATGTATGAATTCTTTTAGACTGCCAATTTTCAACCTTAACCACTTCCTGCCAGGCAACCCGTTTTCTGGTACATAGGCTTTATATGCAGAGCCGGGGAGCCCGGAACTGGGACAAAAGAGTTGGGCTTTATAACAAAAGACCATGCTCAGCACAAACGACTGAGCTGCTGGGCATTACCGACATTTTTTTGCTTTCAATAGTGGAGATAATCCAGCCTTGTTTTGAAACAGTATGCCATGGTTTGAGGCATTTAGAATGAGTGGATTACCACCAGGGACAAAAGCTCTCCACCACCGGAGATCTGGCCCCTATTGAAAAGAGGTCAGCAGTGCACTCTGCCAGTTTCGGGAACAAAAGAATCTTATGTAACACCGCACAATCGGGGCTCTTTTTCCAAGGCTGCAGGCCTGGCTGAAATATTCAGGAGTCAATGAATTTTACCTGTCAGCTTTAGAGTAGTGCCCAAAGAGTCCTTCATGTAGGTATAAACGGCCATTAAATGAAATGATGAATTTTCGAAGAATTTTGAATACGGAAAATCTTGAAAAGGACCCGGCATCTTGTCTTGCTCAAGAAAAATCCACCCGGCAGCAAGTGGTTAGTTAAGCAACAGCTAATCATGCAAGTTAACTATGAGGTTTCCAAGTGTCACATTCAATCTAAAAGAGGTTCATTTCTGGTGTATTCTCGCCCACAGTCCCAGGTCACCAGAGCAAGAGGGCCTAGGAGCAGGTGAAGAGGTGAGAGAGAGGTCCCTCTTGAGAAGATGAAAACCAAATCCAGTCACTCTAATACCTGTGTGCATGTNTAGTCCAACAATTAGTACAGCAAGCCAGACACTGCACACAATGAACCATGTGTGTTCCAACTCACACACCATCACCCTGGGCCTTTGAAGTTCTTCGATCTCATTGCATGAACAGGTCAATTTTCACCTTTCTATCATTGGACTAACCACATTATAAAAGAGTGTGCTTCTGTCTGATTGGGAGTAGGCCCTCAGTTACTCGCTGGTCATGCTTCAGGAATGTACATGTACTCGTCTTGACCCAAGTGACATGCTCAACGTAGCTGCGGTGATAGGTATTCCACAATTCCACCTCTTTTGAGTCGGCTTAAGTTCGCAAGCCACAAGGAACTTTTTCTATCCCAAACAAGTAGAGCATACTAGCGGCTGACTCTAGAGAAATGTCCAGGTTGTGTATTTGCCACGTCTTTTGACTTTTTCAGGATCCAGAGGAACCAAACAATTGGGAGGAGACATTTAAGACGCACAAGGACAGCAGGCCTAAAGGTACACTTTGACAATGGGCTGTGTGCGTGAATGACAGAGGGCGCTATTGTACCTAGCAACAGAATCTTTTGGACCCAACACAACATGCGCATGTTGATTCCTTTGCTTACAGCATAGAGTATATACAGTGTATGCGGATCCCATGAGGTGGATCCCATGAGGCGGATCCCATGAGGCGGATCCCATGAGGAAAAGAATTAATCTGACCACCTTGATGTTATTGAGGATTACTTGTTTACAGATATGTGGGTATTGCGAGGGGCCCCCTGGAAAATACTTACAAAAATAAGAATGAAAAAAAGAGATAAAAGTGGAAGAAAATCCCCAACTTGCTTAAAACCCCTCCAGATTTCTCCCCTCCCATTGTTTGTTGTTTATCATTGCTGAGCTCATGAGTGCTTTGCCCTTGTCCTCCCCTCCCCTCAGAAATATTTCCCTCTGGAAAAACACTGTTCTTCCCCCCCCCCTCCAAAAAAATCCTGGTGATGCTCCATATGCAGATACTGAAATCCTCATAAATGCTGACTTATCACAGACTTTAACAAGTGGTGTTGATGTAGTTCAGTGTGTTTTATGAGAAATGCAGCAAGGCGTGACAACTGCACATCAGAGGCCACATTTGGCGGCAAAATCTGCATATGTGCTTTTGCTCCAAACGATAAATCATCCAACTTCGATTTGTCACAAAATGAAGTTGGATGGGTAAAGGAAATTTTCACCCAAAATCTACAAACTTAACACATAGGATAGTCCAAAGGTGTGTAAAAAAATGCGTGCATGTGCATGGTGTATTAACCCCATTAAGCATTGTTGAAATTTCGTGGAGCAAGACCTGTTGTGCTGTATGCAGGTTGTCATGATGGATCTAGTATTTATCTGCACACTCAGAGTGATAGAAAATGACACAAATGACTATAAAAGGGCCTCGCTCCCCCAGACAAAAGAATATAGAAAGAGTTGTCACTCATATGTGCACCAACTTGGCACAATTGTTTGTTTAAACAAACCCATGGCAAGATCCTTGTCCAATAAGCAGCATTCTCGCCGTCACTGGTTGGTTGGTTTAGAGGAAGTCTATCCCCAACCTTTGCTGCTCTCAAGAGACTCTCTCTCTGACTTATTCGGCCAGAAAGCAGTGTTACAACTTTGTCGTGATCCACCGGTTGGTGATTTTGTCACAAATGCTTGGTTATTATTTTTGGTTTTTAGGTCCTACGTCAGTTGGCGTGGACTTCTGCTTTCCTGGGTTTGATCATGTGTACGGCATACCAGAACATGCGGACACCTTTGCTCTAAAGACCACTGTGTAAGTATTGCTGACGCTTCCTCACAAAAACAGAAAGGCCAGTTTAATGCCAAGCAGTTTTATGTCTGAAATAAAAAAAAGGTTGCTTGTTTGCCAGTGATATGTACTTCAAAATTTCCTGCTAATTTGTTAAATTTTTAAAAAGATTTGCAAGTTATTACCTCTGGTGGACCACTCTGTCATTGAAATCGTAACTCCCAAAACTTCATTTTGTATCATGAAGCCTGTTTGTTTTCCCCACATTTCTCATCAGGAGCACCGACCCTTACCGTTTGTACAACCTGGATGTGTTTGAGTACGAACTTTACAACCCAATGGCATTGTACGGCTCAGTACCATACATGTTGGCACACAAGTAAGTTAACCTGAGGCTTCAACCAAGAGAGAAGTAGTTTTGGCAAAGACCCTTGCACATAGGTCTGAAATCAGTAAGAGCTGATGCTCAGAGGTGATACTAATTGTGATATGAGAAACGAAACAAAATCAAGAAATACTTGAACATTAATGACACATGAAAAAAAGAAATTTGAGTGAGCCCCTATTTTGTCAGCTGGTTTTATTCTGAAAGGGATAGTTGTTTTTGTTTGTAAACAATTTTTCCCTGTCAGAAAGAGCATACTATTCAATTGATACCACACCAATGCAAACAAAAATACCAAGTATTGTTCCAAGTGGTGTTGCAAAACGAGTCCATCACAATTCCTCTCAAGTTCATTGAAAGTGATCCTGTCTCCAGTCAATTCACAAACTATTCAGATAAATCCTGACAAAGGAATACATCTTTTGTTCATCTCCCACTGCCTGTAACCAGACTCAAACTCAGATGTGAAATTTGACCTACAATGGACTGGACTTGACTTTAACACTAATTTGATGTATTGCCTGTCGGAGTTTTCCTCTGTCAGTAACTCTTCTTTTGGTGCTGTGTTATCTTGAATTTTGTCTTATAATGTGCCTTAATTTTGCAGTTCTGAAAGGACAGTGGGTCTTCTGTGGCTAAATGCGGCAGAAACGTGGATTGACATCAGCTCAAATACTGCGGACAAGGTTAGATGATGTTTCCGAAGTCTGAATAGTCTCATGCATGTTCATGGCTTGTTCTTAATCATATTCTTGACCAGAACACACCACGGATTAGCCACATTTTTGAAAATGACCACTTGTGAGTTAACTCAAATTATGAGTCGGTAAAGAGCCGATTTTTAAAATTGCTGTGATTAAGAAACACTACCTCATGGTCATTTTTTTTCCAGTTAGATCCCATTCCCTGTGTTAACAGTCTTCCTTGGGTTTTTTACGTAGTCCATGTTCAACAGGATGCTAGACTTGGTCCGAGACACAGAGGTGCCTCAGGTAGACACCCACTGGTTCTCAGAGAGTGGTATCCTAGATGTCTTTTTCTTCATGGGCCCTACAGCCGAGGAGGTCATGTACCAGTATGCCTTGGTTACCGGCATGCCGCAGTTCCCACCGGTCAGTGACCTTCCTAGTAATTCCACATTTTCAAATTTAGTGCCTTTTTATCCAAGTGCTTATCCATCTAGATGCCTTCATGTCTGTTAAGGCTGAGTCAAGATTTCAAATGTTGGATGTTTTAGTAATTGTTTTTGTTTGTATACTTATTGTTTTGATTCAAATGTTCCAAAATGAAATGCAGCTCAATGAAAATGAAAAGCAATACTTAATTCTAGAATCCATCAAAGAATGGGATAGAATGGTTTGTGACTTGTATAAAGTGTATGCGTATGCAGAGTTGATATAAGGTTGTAATTATGTACTGATTAAATGTTTGCTTGCTATTGCTATCACTGAAAATAAAAATCTACCATAATGATCATGATTATATGCAAACTGACAATTCACCGTCTGTTATTTGCTGCTGTATTGCTGCAGTATTGCTGCTGTATTCCTGCTGTATTGCTGCTGTGTTGCTGCTGTATTGCTGCTGTATTCCTGCTGTATTGCTGCTGTG